TCTATTCTATTCTATTCTATTCTATTCTATTCTATTCTATTCTATTCCACTCCACTCCACTCCACTCCATTCCATTCCATTCCATTCCACTCCATTCCATTCTATTCATTATTCTATTTTATTCTCTTGAACGTTTCTGCTCTTTTGGGGGCTGAGGTAGCGGAGAGGTGCTTTCCTCCATCCCCAGAGAAGCCAGACTTTAACAGCCAGCCGTAACACACTTCACCGGTCCAGGGTGCCAGAAGGGGCTGGGTTTCCTCCAGATTTCCATATTAATTACCCTAATTGCACCCATCGCCCTGCTCTCCCTGGATGGGCAGAGGCCACAGACTTTGCCCCTTCCTCCCACAACCGACGACGGCGCAGTGCTGGATCGGTTCCTTGGGCCTGAGAGACGGCTTGGCTGCAAGGATGAAGGTCGAATTCGCCCCTCGCAACATCCCGCTGGAGAGAAGGCTCCAAACGGCTGCCGTGCTTCAATGGGTGTTCAGTTTCTTGTGCCTGGGTAAAAATATATATATATATTTAATTCGGGTGACATTTTTAAGAATCTGGAGGCTGGGGGGGTGGGGTGTGGGGAGGAGGGTGCAGGTGGAGGATGGGAGGGGGCTGCTTTTTAAGGAGGTGCCAGAAAATCTCCACCAGGGCTTGCATTGCATTGGCCATCAAAATGCATTTTGGAGCGATGGCAATAGCCCTTAGACTTATATACTGCTTCACAGGGCTTTGCAGCCCTCTCTAAGCAGTTTACACAGTCAACTTGTCGGCCCCCCCACAACATTCTGGGTCCTCATTTTACCGACCTCAGAAGGACGGAAGGCGAATAAACCTTGAGTCAGTCAGGATCGAACTCCTGGAAGTGAGTAGAGTCAGCCTGCAAAGCTGCATTCTAACTGTTGTGCCACCACAGCTCCTTCCTTCCTTCCTTCCTTCCTTCTTTTCTTTCTGTCTTTTCTTTCCTTCCTTCCTTCCTTCCTTTCTTCCTTCCTTCCTTTCTTCCTTATTTTCTTTCTTTCTTTTCTTTTCTTTCCTTCCTTCCTCCCTCCCTCCCTTCCTTTCTTCCTTCCTTATTTTCTTTCTTTTTCTTTCCTTCCTTCCTTCCTTTTCTTTCTTTCTTTTCCTTCCTTCCTTCCTCCCTCCCTCCCTCCCTTCCTTCCTTCCTTATTTTCTTTCTTTCTTTTCTTTCCTTCCTTCCTTTTCTTTCTTTCTTTCCTTTCCTTTCTTCCTTCTTTTCTTTCTTTCTTTCTTTCTTTCTTTTCCTTCCTTCCTTCCTTATTTTCTTTCTTTTCTTTTCTTTTCTTTTCTTTTCTTTTCTTTTCTTTCCTTCCTCCCTTCCTTCCTTTCTTCCTTCTTTTCTTTTTCTTTCCTTCCTCCCTTCCTTCCTTCCTTCCTTTCTTCCTTCTTTTCTTTTTCTTTCTTTACCTTCCTTCCTTCCTTCCTTCCTTCCTTCCTTCCCTCTAAGTGGTTTACAATGTCATCCTATTGACCCCAACAATCTGGGTCCTCGTTTTACTCACCTCGGAAGGATGGAAGGCTGAGTCAACCTTGTGCTGGTCAGGATCGAACTCCTGGCAGTGGGCAGAATCAGCCTGCAATGCTGCATTGTGACTGCTGTGCCACCATAGCTCCTTCCTTCCTTCCCCACTCCCTCCCTCCCTCCCTCCTTCCCTTCGCAATAGCCCTTAGACTTATAGACAGCTTCCCAGGGCTTTTATAACCCTCCTTGAGCAGTTGACGGAGTCAGACTTTTGCCCCCAACAATCTGGGCCCTCATTATACCCACCCCGGAAGGACGGAAGGCTAGGAGTCGGCTCCAGAAATTTCAGCAACCGGTTCTCTGCTTGGTTGCTGGGTGGGTGTGGCCGTGGTGGGCGTGGCCTAGTCAGCCTTCTGCACCATGTTGGGGAGGGGCGTTTTTGCCCTCCCCGGGCTCCAGGGGTTTTCCTCAAATGGCCTCTTTGGGCTCCAGAGGGAGGGAGGGAAGGAGAAGGGAAGGAAGGAATACGGAAAGAAAGAAAGAAAGAAAGAAAGAAAGAAAGAAAGAAAGAAAGAAAGAAAGAAAGAAAGACGATGGAAGGAAGGAAGGAAGGAAGGAAGGAAGGAAGGAAGGAAGGAAGGAAGGAAGGAAG